GGCTGGCGCCCCCTAGAGGGGACAGGCCCCAGGCCCCATTCCCTGCCCCCCTGAGCCAGCCGCTGTGGGGATGGATCGGGGCTGGCGCCCCCTAGAGGGGACAGGCCCCAGGCCCCATTCCCTGCCCCCCTGAGCCAGCCGCTGTGGGGATGGATCGGGGCTGGCGCCCCCTAGAGGGGACAGGCCCCAGGCCCCATTCCCCGCCCCCCTGAGCCAGCCAGTCCCCGCTGTGGGGCTGGGTTGGGGTCTGTGCCCCCTGTCTGGGGCTCGAGCCAGGGCGTGAAGGTGTTGGCCGTGGGGCCCAGTGTCCTGCTGCCCCCTGCTGGCGTGGCCGGGTCTGGACGTAGGCGTGACCCTGACGGTTCATTTCGGCGTCTCAGTTTGGTGAGTGGGGGGGAGTCGCTGTGTTTGAGGGGGGCCCTGAGCTTGGAGGGGGTCAGGGTCAGTGCACTTGTGAGCCCCCCCGCACTGAGACACCAGCCCCCAAACTTGCCCTGCACAGCGGGTCCCCGTGTCACATGAGCTGGGAAACACGTGTGCACAGGAACCAGAGCCGTTTGCACCACACCGCAACGAACATGCGTGTGCCACACACACACAGGATCTCCCATCCCCTCCCTCCACCAGGGGGCGCTGACACCCCCACCCCGCCTCGCCCCCTGGTTACGCACACGGTCACACGCCGGCCCCCTGACCCCCCGACCCCCACCCCTGCTTGCTGACCCATAGCCTGGCACGGGGGCTGGTGCAAAGTGAACTCTCTGGCACGAGGTGAGCTGGGGCAAGGTGAAACGTGTCCCCACATCACGTGTCTCCTTCCAGGCCCCGCATCCTTTCTTTGCTCCTTTCCTTCAACAGAAAACAAACCAACCCGCTGACTTCAGCGCCCTGGAATGAGCCGTGCAGCGGGGCGGGGGCGTCCCGACCCTGCCCTGTCTATATGGGGGGTTTGGAGAAAAGACCCCACCCCCCAGCTCAGCACAGAGACACGTGGCCGTGGGGCTCCGAGGAGACCCTACAATAACAAAGCCACCCCAGGAGACCCTACAATAACTACCTCGGGCATGTCCCCCCTGGAAGCTCTGATGAGCAAATGGAGACCCAGTGATAGCAACCCGCCAGCTGCGTGCTGCCCCCTCGCTGCCCTGGGGCTGGAATCCAGGCCAGGCCGTGGGGCCGGGTTCCTGCCCCCCACACTCCCGCTTTTATCAGGGTCCCGCAGGCAAGACCCAGGCAGCCCTTATCAACCACAGGCTGCTTTCCCCCTCTGCCGCTTCATTTCCTGACCCATACCGCTGGAGTCCCAGGCCCCTACCCTGTGCCAGCCCCCCACCCCTGCAGTCCTGTCCCCCATAACCAGCCCCCCTGCCCATTCAACCGCCATCCACCCCTGTGCCAGCCCCCCACCCCTGCAGTCCTGTCCCCCATAACCAGCCCCCCTGCCCATTCAACCGCCATCCACCCCTGTGCCAGCCCCCCA